GCACGTATTTACTGACAACCATCGCTACACGTGAACTGAGCTTGACTGAGGGGAACGTTATACCGGCATGACATTTTGGTTTTGTAGTATTTTGCGCTCTTACGCGCTTTCAAGTACGTTTTCCAAATTTTCGATTTGTTTCTCCATCGCCTTCTCTAATTTCTTTATTTTGCTATACAACAAATTACTAGACGACTGTGCCTACTGTCATGCGTCCTTTCACTGATCAAAAAACTTTCTACGAAAGGATAGTTGATGGATGGAACTCATTGGACAGTTCCCTTCAAATTAATGGTGTGTGTTAAATCTCAGGATGTTAAGCTCAAGCGTATGAAATACCATGATCCTTTTCTTTGGGGGAATGTATTAAAAGGTTTGTACTCTTTACTTATGATGTCTCCAGTTTTCTATATTCAATATCAATTTACTTTGCTTAATTGCACCAGAGTTGTCCCAGAAAAAAAGCAAAATCCGAAAAGGAAAAAAGCCAGGAAGGAATTTGTTGACTCATAAATGTCCCTTTGGCTTTATGCCCGGTAACCGAACAATTTCACAAAATTTTCACCAAAGGGCACTTACAAGATGGATGATTAGATATGAGTAATTCCAAGAATGTTAAGTCAAAATCTATATGCTTATGTCGTAAACCGCAACAAATGGGACTGCTGCTACCAGTCTCAATTCACAAGAAACAACCGACAACTTCCTCTAAATTTATATTGTTGATCCTTGCTTGTTTTGGTGATGATCACTGGTTATCTCCATCGAATTAACGTGGGATTAAAGTGTTTTGAGTTTGTTTAAGTAAGCACGGACAACGATAGAAGCTGTGCGGTTTAAATGCAGTCTTCAATCTCCCACTTTGCTGTAATTCATAATTTTGCACCAACGGAAATCAGTCTGGGCGTGGCTCGTACTCTTTTGCGACAACGAACTGATACATTTTGATAAAACAAATGAGGAGGTTCACATGATCTAACAGTGATGTTACAAGCCGTCAGTCTCGTAACCTTTTTAACCTTTAAAATCGACTGCAACAAAAATACAAAGATGGTGACATATTTAATACCTAGCCAGAGGAAGAGCATTCTTATCATCACTCGTTGAAAAAGGAACAAGGGATTTGATGAATCGCGTTTTTCCCACAACCCTCTTTCCTGCGAAAGCGTCGGTATGGTTGAGAGAATTAAGAATTTATTGTTTGGAAGTAAACAGTCATAGACTAGAAGAGTTATTTATATACTAAAAGTTCTTGAAACTATAATAGTTATTACGTCTTCCCAAAGAGCTTGTGGACAAAGTATTTTTTTCTTTTTTCTATTTTTTAAAATTTCCTTTTATTTTCATTAATTCTGAGGAAAGAAAGGCTAATGTCGACGAGAAAAAAATGGAATATTAGTAATTTTTAGAACCCACATCATTCACAAGCCGACTGCTTCTTGTCTCCAACTTAGTTTTCATTTGACTTTCAAATTTTTGGTTTTACGAACTAATCGCCAATTTTTCCTCTTTTTTTTTTGTTATATATTAAATGTAAAACAACAATTCAAAGTGGATGCTCCCATGCAGATATTTCCATTCTGAAGTCCGCAGATCTCAATACTAAATCTTGATGTGTTTCTCTAAGCATTTGGACATTTTAACAAGTTGATTGTTTTTGATTCTCGTCAGCAGTTTACACAACATTGTAGTAATGTTTATGAAGAGAAAATTAATTTTGATCAGTTTTACCGAAGTGCCGTGTTTCCTTTGTTTTGAAACCACTAAGAAAGTTCATTGTAAAGTTCATTTTTCGGTGATATCACAGAACCTAAAGAAACTAGACGGACCGAACAACAGATTATACGTTCCAGAGATAAATAGTGAAGAATAAATATTCCGTTAGAGCACAAAGCAAACACGTATTCATCAACAGAATCGACATGTGTGCCGGAAATGAAGTTATTTTGCGGTACACAGAAAAGTTGATCACCGTCTTAAATTAACAATTTTTGCTGCAAGAAGGATAAAATAATTGACTACTAATGGTAAAGGAGAAAGTTAAAAAGCTATTACATTAAGTACCTGAATATTGATTGTCCCTTTACGCTTTAAGAGCCTGATCGCATTTATCCACTTAAGCAGCAGAGAATAAATACACAGAAACGTAAAGGTTTTTACAGCTGCTGTTAAGTGTTGTTTCAAATAAATTCAGAGTTAAGACAATAATTTTAATCGCGTGATGCGTTTAAGTCACGCGTTACAACAATTAGCTGAAAAACGTAACCTATGTTCTTCTTTAGGAAATTAAGACTGAAAAAGTCGTTGTCTTTATTCTTGGCTAGCCAGAACAATTAAAAAAAGAAAAGGGAAACAAATTTCCGCTATCAAACCTTTGCATTATTTTGCGCGCGTTAATTTATCGTTGGCCGACGTGACATGCCTGTCACACGAGGAAAATAAGCTTCACCAGCCAACCGAACAACCATAAGGACCATTTTTTACAAAGGGACGCTCTCTGAATTTTCGATATGCAGTCAGGGACCTCCACAACACGAATTTGAAAGCAACCCATTTTGTTCGTTGGCTTCAAAGGAAACTAATACTTGCAATTATTTAAAAAAATGCTTCGATATGGATTAGACATGAATAATAACTTTGAGGGCGACCTGCGAACAGACTCTGAAGATGAAGAAGAATAAGAAATAAGCGATTTAAGTACAGTTAACCCAAGCTGGCAGGATGCACCTCAGCAATTATGTAAATATCTTTACGCCTAGGCGTCCCAAGCTCACGTCAGGAGAAAAAGCAAGCGATTGATTCATGAAAGCGTCATGCGCTGTGTGACTCGGTGTTAAATTGAACGTTGAGAATTTGAACACGTTGTAAGGAATAATAGCGGAGCTCGCAGAGCGTAGCCCCATAATTATACAAAGTAGTAGTAACCCATCAAGCCGAAAAAATTTGGATGTACGACCGTCCGACCGTACAAAGGTGGAACTTTTAACATGCGTGGTCAACTGCTTTGTCCAGTAGTACAGTGGTCAGTGCACTGGGCTCCGAATCGGACGACCCGTGTTCTAGTCCTGGCCGGGGCAAGGCGCTGTGCCCTTGAGACGTGTTCCGCTTTTAGGCTTGGCTAAATCTATATATTTTAGGGAACGAAATATGGTCGACTAACAACGATATATATTTCGAAATATTATTTTACGCGTAAAATTGGTAGAATCTACTCAAATCTTGTGTGTCCGTTGTGGTTTCTGGCGTTCTCTGCCGTTTTAAGCTCGCTTTTCCCACTGTTATTCCTGTCAGAAGTGGAAGTCAACTTAATTTCGTTAGTTCGTGAAAAAATCGTTTGCTTTTTTCGTGACGTGAGCTTGGGATGCCTGCTTTACGTTTAGCAGTGGACGCATAGTGAGGATTTGAGAGATAAAATAATTTTAATTTAGTTCTTAAATTAAAAATCTGAATAAGTTTTGAATTAAGAAAAAATACTTTCCTCGCTCTCATAGAGTTGGATTTTTAGGCTATTTACCTGGCTGTTTAGTTCGGTTCCGTTTATCTTCTCTAATTTCTATATAATCCTTTCCCGGTATAATTTCGCTCCGAACGCCGCAATTACAACGAAATTCCACATACGTGACAGACAATGATAGAACTCCATAATTTCGTAGATGTGTCAATTAACAAAATGAGGATGGTAAGAAAAATGCTCAGCATTTTTCAAACAAAACGCGTATAATCAGTGACTTAATTCGTATTGACTACCAGCAGAAATGTAGCGAATTTCTTTGCAACAAAGTACAAACATTTAGCCTTAAATGTAATATTGTGCTCCATGATAAGGGTCTGGAGTTCACTGATTTTTTGTTTTATCTTCCTATTAGAATGAATGGACGGCCGATCGTTTCACGTTCTCGTTGATGTGGGATTTTCCTGACGGAAAATATTGTCTTTTTTATACTTATTTTTAACATTTGTGTCATAAGATTGCGAGTATTGAACTTGTGACGTTTATTTCCCTTTATCTTGATTGACAGTCGTTTCATTTTAATCTTTATGTAGTTTGCATGTTATTTTTTCAGACAGTAACAAATACAGAGAAGCTCATGCTATTAAAAGGAACGAATGCCATCCAAATTTCATTTGCATAAATAATCAGGGCTCATACAACTGCTCTTCAAATCCTAAACAGTTCTGGGATGACTTTACCTTTGAAGGTGTATGTTCAGTATCTGCCATTTACTTTCGCATTTTTTTAAGTGGGTATTACATAGACTTGTTATGCGTTGCTGCTAGATGGCCATTGTCGGCCATAATATTTGTTTGTTAGTTAAATATCCTAGTTGTACATTTAGTTTTTCTAGAGTTCTTCTTTTCATGTGCTATTTCTGAGAAAGAGAAAACTAATTTCAGAACCTGCTGTCCACAAAACTATCTAAGTTTGATTTCCAACATCACTAATGTCAGTCTCGACGTGCAAGTACGAGTTAAAACAGGTACCCACATAAGTACCAGTTAACCTTTTTTGGATTTCAATTATTGTTCTTTTAAGTACTAGTTCTAAAGCCAAGTTACTTTTTCTGCTTTCTTCGCAAATAATGCGGTCTTTGTCTTGACATAGTTGTTTTTCTTTTTCCCAGTATTTTATCACCTTCAATTGAACAATGAACCGAGAGAGCTACACACTTAACAAACACTATCGAGAATAGGGTCAACATTTGGAAATTAAAGTATAAGATGTCTAGGGTTTATCATGAAAGTCCCGCCATGTCCCTGATACACATAATAAACTCTTTGCAATAGGATAAAATTAAAAAATATCTAATCGAAAGAAAACAATTCGAAGATTTCAGAACATTCGCACCGAACTTTTACATTTAGTCAAAGAATAAATTTTTGACGCAAATAATTTCAGATCTAAAGAAGTAATGGTCGAAGAAAGCTCAGAGAAATAACACCTTGCAACGACAATTGCTTTATGAGAACTGTACGTTTTCTGATAAAATTTTTTTCTTACCTTTGCAGGTATGTCCATCTCCAGAAAAACCGGCTCTGCAAGAGCAGCGATACGATCCCAGAGTGTTTTCCCAGTCAGCGTTCACATCACAAACACTAACGCAGGTATTACATTCGCCTGTAGATGAATATGCAAAGCGTTTAGAGCTACAATATCCATTGATCATGAAGCACAATTTTAAGCAAATTATTGTTCAGATCCTCTTTAATCAAGTTATTCACCATTAAAAAAAAGGCCTAGAGCGTGAGTGTCAAACAGCTTTATCGGGCAGGCTTTCCAAGAGTTTCTATGTATATCATTCCAATAACATATTGAGTCGTTGCTTGGTGCTGGGAATTGAAGCAAAGCATAAACAATGAGTTCACCTTAGTTAGTAGGATGCAAACGAGTCAAGATTTATCAAATCCTAATTTGAAAAAAAAAAGATTCCTATGAATATGCAATTCTTGCAGTCATCTATTGCCGTACATGGATTAAGATATAAAATATATAAATAAGAGAAAAGATAAGATTAAAAAAAAGATCTGCCATGTTTCGAAATGCGCGGGCGCTTATTCGTGGGTGATGCGATTTAAGTTAATTTTAGTCTCCTGCTGTTAGATTAAGAGCCAGCCATATACTCTGTAAGGGCTGACAAAAGAGTTCCTTCCTGCTTCATAACTAGTTTCCCGAGGAAGAAATCTTAAACGACTAAGAACAATTTATCTTTTCTTTAACATAGTAAGTCTTTTCCTGGTGTACCAGGAAAAGACTTACTATGTGTGTTTCTACCAAACGATCAGACTTACGATCGACAACAAGATAGTATTGTACCTGACAGAAAAGCTTACCGTTAGCTTTTACGCTATGTACAATACTTTTTAGTGTATATCCATTCTGTTTAACTTTCTTCCTCTACCTACGGTTTTCATTTCACAGTGAGTCAACACAGGAGTGTCAGGTTTGACGAAATTCAGCCAGTGTTTGCCGCTGACCACCTGTCCACCTTCACTCGCCTTGATTTCCTTGCACGAGTCTGCAGACAGCTCTGGAATGGCACCGAGAATAGCTAGAAAATAAGAAAACGAGAATGTAAAGAGAAAAACGCGATGTCTTCCCCTTTAAGACAATTGGCCGAATCATTTTGCCTTAACGCCCACCTCTCTACGTATCTCGTCTGAAGTAATACCTCTCAGAGTTGGGTACAAAATCTTCAGGCCTGGCTTCCTTTATGCGATTGCTCAACTCACACTTTTCTTGGATGAACACATAGTTAAAGCTTTGGCATCTGACGTCAAGATAAGATTCCCGCAAACATACATCACCGATTGCTCCTCCAGAGAAGGAGTTTTCGCGTGAATCCCGGTGATACTGAGTATTTACTGAATGAAACAATACCAACAGGATGAGGAAAACTGGCAAATGAAAGAACTCTTTGACCACCATTGAGGTTAATCTCACCAGAAATGAAACAATGAAATTGAATGGGCATAGTGACAAATATGCAGTCATCCACAAAAACACGGCGAAGAAGGTAATTGCGAATGGAGGGCACTTAATGCTTGGCTTTGTTTCAAACATATGACATATGGCACGCGGCACACACAACGTGAAATATGACACGCATTCATATTAACAGCATAATGCGAGGCGGTGTGCGTGAGATATGGCACGGGTAAATGGGACACGGCTCCTAAAACAGTCCCATTGCGCGTTCTTCTTTCTGTACCATGACAATGTTTAAAAATTACAATTATTTTATTTAATAGAGACAGAGGTCGTCACTCCTAATGCATGAAAAAAGGAGCAGAAAAATAGACATAAATTAAAGTAAATTCATTTATTTCCGATCCATTTCCTTCAATAGCAGCAGCCATTTTGCTGATCCAAATAATCCACTTATTCTTTATAAATAGAACACTGTGTTGGTCGCCCTTAGCGACGCTTCTAAAATTGCCAAAAATAATGCATTTCATAAAAATGAACACGACTTCTTTTCCACGTAATTTCTATCAGATAAAAATTAATTTTAAACAGCAGTTCATTTTCCCGATCTGAACGTAGAAGTTACTCTTACAGAACAGAGGGTTAGTAAAGATCCCTATAGTTTTTCTTCTTGCTGGTTTATGCCATTATCTTTATTTCACACGTAGATTAGATCACCACACTAGTGAATTAAATAGCCACTTATCTAATTTTTATGTAAGGAGGTATGTTCTTCATTGAATAAAGTTCTGTCTGACGAGCGCTTAGGCGCGAAACTCAGAGTCAAAGTACTCGATAGCTTTTTCTGAGGTAGATCTGAATCTGCAGAATAAGGAGGGGGTTGATAGGATTGAAATCGTATTAAAGGTTGAAGAACGAGGTATGATTTTTTCCAACTATTTCTCGTTTGCCATAGTAGCTATATAGGAATACAATTCAACATTTACATATTAACTTGAATCATGCTTTTTTGTCCCCTAATTAATCCATCTTAAGTAAGATAGGTTACAGTTGTGGAGGGAATGTATTTTTAAACTTCAAAATCATTAGCCCCTCACGTAATAAAAAATGCCACCTGATTTTTATAGCAATAACTTTTATTGTAATCCATAATTCCCTTCAAAGTCCACAGTATAAACTCAAAAACTAATGCGTAAGTTAAGTTTTCTCTTGGGTATTTCTCTCGTTATTGTGGAGTTTAATTACATATGCTACAATTGATTTTAATAACAATTTCATCGTTTTGGATGTTGCAGCGACAGGCAAAAGTTATGAATGGAAATTTAGATTTTTACTGTTAGATGGCTGCCTACTACTACGTTTCTTCGTTCAGTTTCTTCTTTCAATCACAAATCTATTAAAACAACAGTTAAACACTGATAGCCACAAACAAATTAAAAATTAACCTGTTTAGAATCATTAAGTTTAAAAGAGTTGAAACATTGAACTTTATCACATGGAAGGGAACAGATCACATCAACCAAGAGGGGCGGAAATATTAACATTAAACCAAGTTATTCCTTTCAGTGCTTCTCTCCTGGTGTTGAGAACTTTAATCTAGTTTGGGACTGGCAGTCAGTTATTTTTGAAAATGTCTGTGTGCAGTGTGAACAATGACATTCTCCTCATCATACATGTAACATTTATAATTCTTCAGATGTCAGATTTTTCGAGGTTGGCTTTGGATGTTTATGTTTTTTACAAGATATGGCTATAACATCAAGAAAATTCAGACCCAAATGGAACACAATAAACAAATGGTCAATGTCCGTAATCTGAAATTTAATGGGGTTTGAGAAAATCCTTTGTTTATTTGGTCAATTCTGCAATCTCGGGTTCATGTCAGGATAGAGATTCGTACTGAGCTGAGACTACATGAGTGACTTTAGGGTTGGTGTTGACCTAATGCTATAAAGTACGCTTGTATGCATCGGATGTTGCAATTTTCTGTCTGCTAAATCTGGTTTAAATCAACATTTTTCAAAACTTCTGTCATATCATAGAATTTGCTTCTGTCTGTGAATTAAACTCCTCCAGCCAAAGACAACGATTTCGCAAAAATGAAGCATGGTGTTGGCAATACTGGCAGGTACATGCTCAAATGTACGAACTTAAGTAAAAATGCAACAAGACACTTTGGAATGGATTCTGACAACCCTTATCATTAGGAATGAAAAAAAAAAAAAAAAAAAAAAAAAAAGAAGGAATTTGATAATTTCATTTTTCCATAGTATACTCACACTACTTGCTGCAACAAAAAAAAAAGAGAAAAAAAAAAGAGAAAACAAACAAACAAACAAACAAGATGTCAGATGATAATGTATTAGTAGTATAACATACACCTGTATCAAGTAATGGTGTAGTGTCCAGAAACATTCAATATATGCATGAAAATGTACTTGAGTTATGAAAAAAAAGGAGAAAAAATTATGTAGTTGTTAAGTTTAATATATTTTTTATTTACATTGATAACGATTCCTCAAAGACTATCTTTAGTACTGTATTTTTCTTTTTCTAATTCCATTTGATTATCTCACCAAATCCAAATTCCTGTGTTAGGCAATGGATCAGCGTTAATTGATGATCTTACATTAAATTGTTTCCCAGCAACAAAAATCATTCCCAACAACCCTTGGGCCGATCGTACAAAATTGTACGACTCCGTTAACCTTTCGAAAATGCACGTTTTACGTCCGATCGTTCTGAAATTCCGACTGTAGCATGTAGACATTCTAAGCCAATCACATGGGGAGTTTTAGCTCCGAACTATCAAACGTGACCTTAACAGCCCCTTCCGAAAATTAGTTCCATACGATTTCAGCGTGTGAAGATGGCATCCGATGCGAAGCGTCAGAAATACAGCGTAGCCGAGGCTTCAGAGATGATTTTTGACGATGGAAGTGAGCATGGTGGTATGTCTAGTGGTGAGGAGTCCGAATTAGACAGAAAACTGGAAAATCTTAGCGAAGAATCGAGGTAAGTAATCAGTAAACATTCTTGCGATATTCAAATAGGTAAAGCATGTGGTCTTGAAACGGTGTAAAACCACACTTACTTTTACTTTTCGCGCTCGAATCCTTGTTTCTTTACCTTAAGACAAACCTATAGATGTATATTTGTGAATGTAAAGCAATATGCACTGTGATCAAACATGATTTTAAAGCGACAGAGTAAATAATTTTCAATGGAATTTTAGAGCGTAACGCGCTAAATTATAAGCTGATCACAGATCGAATGACGCAGTGCGCAATCAAATCCTTTATTTGAAAACGATTATTGTATATATATGTATGGACCTCTATGTTAACTCATATGTTTTGTGTGTTTTGTTTTAGAGGTGGTTCTACTTGTTACATGCTGAAATTCACAAAACAGACAAATTATGCAAAAAAATATGCGTTGTGAAAATGTTTTAGTGGAATGATGTAAAATGACAGTTTCGGGTTTCACTTCTGAATTGTTTTACTCTTGGAAAATACTGGTGGTGCATTACAAGTGAAAGGCTTTTGATATGTGTTGTGCTTTATTATTTTGAGGTTGACTAATTTGTCCTTGTTTCAAGGCAAAATTTAAGAAATCAACCAAAGAAATTTACATAATATTTCATCTCTTCAGTGAATCGGAAGGAGACATGGGAGAAGTTAGGGAGCATGAAGAAGATCCTGATTGGATTGAAGGAGAAGTTTCAGAGGTTAGTGAGATTGAGAGTGAGGGTGAGATGGAGAGTGAAGACACTGATGTTGGTGTTTCTGTAGATCCAGTGCCTTCCACATCCCATGCCACAGGTAAGTTTTACAAGCCTGCAAGGTCACGTTGTCCTCTCAGGGCTAAAAGGGAACCTGCCAGACGAGGTACCCATGGTGTTCGAGGTGCTAAAGTTTGTGCTTTAGTATCTCGAGGTTCTACAAATGATCGTGGTGGTAGTAGAGCCACAAAACGTGCACCCCCAACCCCAGAGGACCCTTCCTCAGAGGATACTTATAAATCATATCATGATGAGGATGAGGGAAATCCCTGTGATCAGTTTCCACCCCCTCCCTTTACACCTGCACGTCCTCTTGGGATACAATTCGAACAGCCTTTGCTCAGGGGTAGGATGAATACTGCTGTTGAGTTTTTTAAATTATTTTTTACTAAAGAACTGGTGAATAATATTGTTGAGCACACCAACAGCTATGCTGTTCAACACATTACTGAGGGTACCCACAGGAGTTATGCTCAAGCAGATGGATCATGGAAAGACACAACACCAGAGGAGATATACCGGTTGATAGCCCTTCTGATCTATTTTGGTTTAGTGAAAATAGGTATTACTATAAACAGGTATTGGAGTACCAAGACCCTCTACCATGGTTTATGGGCAAGATCCATCATGCCCAGAATACGATTTCAAGGGCTCATGGCCTTCTTGCATGTTGTAGATCCTGCATCTGAGACCCCCAGTAACAAATTACGTAAAGTAGAGTCCCTTGTCAACTATTTTAAATCTAGATGTGTTGCTTTGTATCAGCCCAGAAAACATGTGGCCATCGATGAGCGAATGGTCAGGTCTCGTCACAGGTCTGGCATCAGGCAGTACACGAGGGACAAACCAACTAAGTGGGGAATAAAACTGTGGGTACTCGCTGATAGTTCTAATGGTTATACTGTAGACTTCAACATTTACATTGGAAAAGATGCTGCAAGAGGGATTAGTGAGTTTGGGCTTGGGCATGATGTTGTGGTAAGACTTATTAGTCCCTACTATGATCAAGGTTATCACTTGTTTATTGACAATTTTTATACTTCAGTTCATCTCATGAAGCATTTATTTCAGCATGGAGTCATTGCTACAGGTACCATTTTGGATACCAGGAAAGATTTCCCAGCAAATCTCAAGAAAGGAAGCAAATGGGGAAAGGGCAAAGCTAGGGGTAGTATGCGGTGGCAGAGGGATCCTCCCTGCTTAGTCTTGCAGTGGGTTGACAATAAAGTAGTATCTATGATCAGTACTTCTGGTAATGCTAATGACTCTGTTCAGATAAATCGTAAAATAAAATCTGATGGTGTGTGGAGCTCATTAGAGGTACCTCAGCCTCAGGTCTTTGCAATGTACA